GTCTCTAGTATATATATATGTATATACATATATATATATATGTATGTATGTATGTATCTTCGCCGTACCGCTTCGTTGCGCTTTTGCTCGTGGGTCTTGGCGTGTCTTAAGTGTGACATGATGTTCTTGTCAAGTGTTTGTAGCACTATCTCGTCCTGCACACCATGGATGCTGCCCAGCAGCTGACATGCTCTCTCGCGCACAGGCACCTCCACATCGTTGACCAGATCACATATCTAAGTTGGGAGGTATGTAGGTAGGATATGTAGGTAAGATATGTAGGTAGAACGTAGAAGAATCACTCTCGAGAGGGTAGTATGTAGTACCCGCCTACGACTGTGGTTTTTAAACCAATAGTCTGGTGTGCACTCCCTTACTCTGACCATAGGCCAGGGGTCTACACCGGCTTAGCGAGACTATGGATACAGTGCCAGTCCAAGGCTTCATCTGACTATCATGCGATGGTAGCTGACTGAGTATAAGACACGAGACATGGCACCCCCATGACACAGACCCAGAAACACACCCAACACACTGTACTACAATGGGGCGACCATACACTGACCACACACCCAACACACTAACAAGAGACCCAACACACTCGAAACACACACCCAACATGCTCTAACCACACACCCAACACACTCTAACCCCACACCCAACTACAACCACACACCCAACACACTCTAACAAGAGACTCTTAACAGCCAATACCTTAGCGAACGCATCATCCACCATGCGCGTCTCAGTGCCTTGGTCAATCTTTGCATCGGGCGATGTGTTTGCACACACCCACACCACATTTATCGCCTGCATACGCACCTCTGGGCTGGCATCATCCAGCGCGTGCACCTGTGTGCGGGGAAAAAGAACCGGTGTATAGGCAGATAGGACAATTGGCCGGGGGGATATCGCAGAAGTGGTTCTAGTCCGGGCACACACTGGAAAGGGCAGATGGTGTCCAAAAAAGAAGTGTATTGTTACGCATACACACACATATATACACATACATACACATACATATAGACACAAACACACACACATATATATATATATATATATACGTGCGCGCACATGCACACACACACGCGCGCGCACACGCACGCACACACTCAGACAGGTACAGTCGATTGGTGTCCTATGCAGAGACTGCACTTACCGCTGCCTGGTACACGTCAATGCCCATAACCACTCCGCGCCTGTACGATGCACTCGCCACGTTCAGTGCTGCGAAGAGAGTGAAACGTGTCAGCATGCAGAGAAGTGTGTATGTCTGCGTCTGCATATAACACAAACATTCTCGCATACTACTGTGCGAAAGCATATAACAACAGTACTCATTAAGAAATGGGTGCACCTAAGTCCAGGACAACAATGACAGGTTTACTGCGCTTACCCGTATGGCGCATATAACTATTATGCTTGTGCAGTGAACCACTCAAAGAAATGAGTGCAAATCAGTCCAGTACAACAATGACAGGTCTACTGCGCTTACCCGTATGGCGCATATAATTACTATGCTTGTACAGTAAACCACTCATAAAGAAATGAGTGCAAATCAGTCCAGTACAACAATGACAGGTCTACTGCGCTTACCCGTATGACGGACACGTGCGTCAGTGTCGTCACAGAAGGACAGCGTAAGTCGACGTATGTCATTCGCCGTGACCGCGGTTGAGTCCATGTGGCCAGCGGTCTTATCGTTCCTGGATAATTGTCCACTACCACCGGCGTCTACGGGCTTAACCAGCTCACCCAGCACCTCCAAACACACATATCTGAGGCCCGCGGATTTCCGGCTGCAGGCTTCGCCGAGCCGTTGCCAGGCAACCGTTACTATGGAACACTGTAGCTGCACATCTTGCTTAACACGGGCTAAGCCTAACAACTTCTTCAGCAGCCCGGCTTTCCGTTGGGCCGAGGCCATGCGAGTCTCCACCGCAAGCACTGCGTTGAATACACTGACGTGTATTGTACGGGCAAAGGTAGACGTAATGTGGGTATACGTACGGTAGGGTTCTTTTAAGCAGGCGACTTGATGAAGGCAACATTAGCCACAAAACTTACGGATATGGCAGCACTTGTGGGTAGAGTGGGGAATAGATGAATGTTGATGTATTTACAAACACATATACCGGAAAGCATTCTTATAAGTACTATACACATTCTAAAATACAAAGATATCTATGCAAGATCCTATACGGACTGACAGTATATACATGTATCAGGTATATAAAAATGCAGTCAATAAGGCTACATTGCTTTGTCTTGTACTTCTGTACTATTGAATAGGGGAATGGGTGTAGCGGCAATACTCCTCCTATCCCGGCTTTGCAAAGTACCATTGTCCCGTTGTAGGTATATGCATTCATACAGGTGATACTCGCACCAGTCACCTCATATTGGAAGAAGATAACATACATAGCCTGCATACATGTCTTGCACATATCTATGCGATAACGAACTAATACATAAAAGGAAAATACATGACTATATCCGAAAATAGAGCCCACAACGAGATCAACAGATTTACCTATTTGTATACATGTATTTCCATATGTATGCAAATTTGCGCATACTACGAAGCTACATACAGGAATATGATATATAAAAGTCAAGGTATATGTGGATATATAGAAAAATACATATACAAAATCACAATTCATACAAACAAATTGGAATACCAATATATATATATATATATATATATATGCAAACACGTATACATACACACAAGCAAACAAACACAAACAAACCAAAACGACGCACAAACACAACCACAAACAAACACACACACACA